CCACTCGCCTTTCCAACTGGCCAATCGGATTCAAGGCCGAATCAGACATACCCCTGGCTGAAGACGCGTCGACGCATTCCCTGACTAACACTTGAGGTGCCACTCCCGGCGCCGGAGGCATTTTCCTCTGGCCTCCAGCTCCTTCCAGTCCCTTCTCCAGTTCTCCTGCAGGGAATACGCAATCCTCCTAACTGTCGTCAATCTTCTGTTCCCATTCGGGATCGACCCTGAAGGTCGTGGTAACCAGGGTCTCACCCTCAGCAAACACACAACCTGCCTGGGGAGACTGATTGCAGAACCGCTTGGTCTCTCTTAAACGCCAGTAAAGTTGTCCAACCCAATCCTTCATCCCTGACTTCTGCTTTGGGAACATTTGCGTTGTCGACCGGGCCCAACTTGACAATTCGTGACGCCTTGCAAACGGCAATCTCCCTTCTTCCCAATCTACGATATAGTCAGGTTTTTGACCATGGGCAATTTTCCACCGGAAGTACAGTATACGTTGACATTTGCTTCCGCCATTCTTTCGGCCGCACAACTTACTCAGATAACCGAACGGCTCATGACGATGCACGGTTATTCCGAGCCATCGCTTTCCGGTCTCTTAACTTCTTCGATTTCTTCTGCGTCTCCCCTCTCTCACATAAAGTCTGAGCTTGCGAAGCTTGCCGAAGATATAGCTTCGCTTCAAGAAGGTTCAGCCTACAGGCATTTCCTGGTCGACACTGGTGCACACCTGAGTGTCATCCCTTACACAGCAGCCGACCGTCGGTGCCCCCAACCCTGGCCTCTTCCTTCAGGCCGTCAAAACTTAATCAATTACCACTTCCGGGGCCTGCTCACACTTTCTGGACACCGGCCTACGGCGTCTTTTCACTTGGGTCTTCGCCTTTGCTGACATCCCCCCCCCCCTGCCATTCTCCGTACAGACTTCTTTGCCGTCTTCGATCGTCTGGTTTATTGCCGTCAGTCCCGTCCACACGACAGGCACACCAGCCTCACCGTCCGGGATATCCCTTCTTCTGACGCTTCCCGTCACCTCGCGCTCCTGGATCCTGAACACGAGCATCCATTTCGATAGCTTCCTGCCGAATGCCCTGGCCTCACCTGTCCTAATTCCAACGTTTCTATCCCATTACACAACGTTGTTCACAACAAACGGACCATTCACCCTCCCGTATTTTCTCGGCCCCACCGTCTCGCACCCGCTCGACTGTCTGTCACCAAGGCCGAGTTCGAGCATACGCTTCAGACAGACGTCATCTGTCAGTCTGAAAACCCATGGGCCTCACCGCTCCACATAGTTCCCAAGGTCGCCACTGGTGACTAGCGCCCCTGCGATGACTACAGGGCCTTGAACAAGGTAACCATCACGGACCGCCACCATGTTCCGCATCTTCGGAATTTTGTCAATGCCCTATTCGGCAAATCTATGTTCTCGAAGATCGACCTGGTCAGTGCCTTCGTCACGGAGGACGTTTCGAATACGGCCGTCATCACTTCCTTTGACTTCCTGTGCATGCTGTTTGGAGTCCTCAACGCCTCCCAGACCTTCCAGAGGTTCGTAAACAGAGTGCTTCGCAGACTACCGTTTACGCCTATATTGACGACCCTTTAGTAGCCAATTACACCGACGAAGAATACATGGAGCATCTTGCAACTTTGTTTGAATGTCTTCAACAATTTAGCGTTGTTTTCGACCCATTCAAATGCGTCTTCGGTGTGTCCTCTCTTGAATCCCTCGGATTGCTTGTTGACTTCAACAGCATCTATCATCTCCTACCGAAGGTTACGACCATACATTATTTTTTTTATCTGCCTCTTACAAGCGTCAGCTGCAGCGGTTTCTGGGCATGGTGAACTTCTATCGCCGTTTCATCTCGAACTATGTCGGCACCGTTCTACCACTTACGAGCCCCCTCTCGGACCCCGAAGGTTCGTTCGTGCTTTCCGCAGACCCTCTTGCTGTTTCTGACAAGGTGAGAGCTGTCCTAGCCGACACCACCCTCTTGGCGCATTTTGCTCTTGATGCTCTCATCTCCCTCATGATTGGCGCCCCTGATGTCACTGTCGGCGCGGTTCTCTAACAGCACCTTGGAGGTCACACCCAACCCTTAGCAGCTCCAGCAAGTTATCACCTGTCGAGACGCTCTATAGCACATTTGGATGGAAGTTTCTTGCTGTCTTCCGAGCCGCGAAACACTACTGGCATTCCCTCCATAGCCGCTTTGTCTATCTGCCCTTCTGTCCGCCTCACGCGCCCTGTCGACTCGCTCCTGGAACCGCATGAGGCCAGTTACTTGCCTCGCGAGATCTCGAAGCCAATTAACGCTGCCCCCTCTCTGAATGGTTGGCGAACACTAACTGAGACAGAATCAAGGTGTACACACGTGCTGGGGCTAATAATCTCAACGGCGAACGTAGACGAAAGAACTTGCCTGGAGAGACAACTTGCGGCAACTGCTTGCAGAGCTTCTTGTACGCTCTTACACGTCAGTAAAGTTCCCCGATCCAATCCGTCTTCCTTGACTTCTGACTCGCGAACCTTCGTGTTGTCGATCATACTGCCTCGATAGATCATCTCAATAGGCGTCCGTCAGCGTTGCGAAGGACATAAAGCTAATGCGGCCACCGCCCCGTTCCACCGTAGGTGTTACCGCGATGGTCTCCAACGCTGGTCACTTGTGTCGTCATGCCGTCATGTGCGTGAAACATTCGGGCACACAAATGTTCTCACTACTCTCTGGAGATTACCTTTCAAGGTCCCCGCATGCGTCCAGCCAGGTCCAGTGCGACCGTGCTTAGCTTCGTTGACGTTGTTTCCGATTAAGGCCGTCTCAGAGGTCAGATTTAGTTTCATCTTCGGGACATGGCGATGTCCAACCCGGCACTCAGCATCTCGACCCGCCTTTGTCAAGAACAGGACGGTTCGATCACCGCGGACGATGGTGTCCACCATGTGTTCCACAACATGGTAGGCGCAGGGAGGGCGACTTACGCATGAACTAGCTTATAGTGATGGTGGACTCGCGCAGCATCTACCGCACTCTCTCCTCCCTTACCCGTCGGAGCCCGGTGTCAAGGGTCAGGATAACCGGAGGCGGACTGGGCGCAGTGGCTAACAAAGCTAAACGGCCCTCCATGCGTCGAAGACGCCTGGTGGTTGCACAATTGGCCAGGTTTATGTGCTCACGAACACGACGGCGGTCAAGCCTCCTGGCAGGTCCGTAGTACAGCATTTTCCCTATGGTGGAATCGAGGGTACATCTTTGTTGTCTTTTTGCGATTCGGAAGTCGAAAGATGGTAGTGAGGCGGAGGCTGTGTTCCGCGCAGGTTTTCGGCAGACAGAGTCCGTTACCGTCGCAATGACCTCCTTTACAGATAGCGCGAGCTGCAGCTACCCAGTCTCTGATGCCACCGAAAGGAGTCAATTTGTCTGCCTTACTCATAAGGGCCTCAAAGGTTTTTTGAATGGCTTCAGGATGCTTCAGTTTGGTAAGCATTGCTTACTTGTAGCCTTTTCTCTATCTTACCGGAGAACGCCTGTGCAGACGTACCTTGTGGAAGTGACGTCTTCCCTTCTCAGATCTCTTTTCAAATCTTTGGTGTTTACGACGCTTGCTGCCACTCCGAGGCCGTGACCATCAGAATACTATCTCAATTCTTACAAGAAACCAGTATTTTGTGAGTCGGGTCTAAGTCCGACAAACTTTCAATTTGGTCTTAAGATTAAAATTTTATCAGTAAAGATTGCGAGTTCCCTGATTCGACTACAAATAGCTTAATAGCACTAAATTACATCTCGGTCACTATCTCGGAAAGAGACTCGGTTAGAGTTAGTGAGCTTTCAACCGAGCTTTCAATAATTAGAATTATCTATTCTCGGCCTGCGTGGTCTTACGCGCCCATATAATCAGAATTCAGAGTAGCAAGCTAAGCGAGCAGTAGTGGTCAACGCAGTCCCTGAAAATGAGTAGCCGAAATCACTCCTTTGAATGTTTATTAGTAAGATGGACGGTTGAGATGAAGCCAATAGAGAAAAGGCTAACGTATATGAAGCTATTGTGGACCGAAGGTACTCTGGGTGTAAACCATGCTGTTAAATGATTGTTACCAAGCACAACTCAGGGTAAATATAATTGTATAACAAGAGTAAGGGGAGGAATCAATGACGTCTGGATATTCTGTGAAAATAGAAATGAACCGAAAACTGCCAACATGGGAAACATGGATAGTTCTGAAAACCGTCTGAAGGGTGGGCCTACTTAGATAAGAGTAAGTTTGCCCTGCCGGTTGGATCACATTGTTGCGAACTTTTCCGTCCGATGAATTCATTTACAACAATATATAATCATATACGCACTTTGACTGGTCAATAAGATGATGTAAAGATGGGTAATCCGTCGCTCCAAATCGTCAGGACGGATATAATCTGCAGAATACGATTGGCGCGCTAAGGCATGATGTCAACACGCCATCGGAACGACTAGATAAAATTATGAAATACCTTTTTGCGTAAACCAATTACAGCATCATAAGTTGCCCGATGCAAGTCACGACAAAACTGAATACTGCACCAGACTATGCCAGAAGGCACATACCAACAGGGATGCTCCTTCAGCTCTCAATAAATGCACTATGAGGAGTATCGCACTCATTTGCAGTAAAAGTATCACATTAAAGGTCTGAAAACAGGTCTCCAAAGTAACATCATATAGCCGGTGCGTTAAAAAGCAACACTACCGCAAAACTCGAACAAAAAGGACATGTAAGTCTGTGCTTCGGCGTAAATTTGTCCTTTCATCCAAATTCTAACAAATATTACTAACATATTTCGCTGTGCACATCCCTTATTACTGTGAGTATGAAGGCAACGAAGCTTGGTCAGGTTTTTCGACCGGAACTGGAGATATGTGGTTCCGAATAGCACAAGATTCTGCTTATAAGTTGAAATAAGGAGACACCTGCGATACAAAACATAAGAAACTAGCCTTACAACAGCCCGATTAGATGAATTCCGATGTCGGATTGGCGGCCCTTCTGACACCGCCCTATGTTTACGCACCTCCAGCCCATTTATTCAAAGTGGGATTCCAGCCCCCACGAAAATATTCAGACTGCATGGGTGGGACTAGGTTTACCAGGGAGAATAATCTAAAAATACTGAATCTAATCATCGAGCAGGGAGGGAGTATAGGAATATGCATTTATTTTGTTCTGCAGACGTCCGGTATTCAAAGTGAGGCTTGAGTCATATCCGAGGTGGGGGAAGAGGAACGCACTCGACCACAACTATCAGGAACACGCCCTTTCGCATGTACCGAAAACGTGAGAACTGCTTTCGGGTCTTTCATATGCACCTTAAAACTTCTCAACCACGCCGCTAGACGTGTCGTACTTGACTTGCTTTGGACTTACAAAAGGTTTGTGAGAATTGTAATGAGGAATGCGGTGTAATCGGTGCACGCTACTTCGACTTGCATGGTGATTTGCATCAAGTCGTTTTTTTCCGAACCACAGTAATGACTTGCTGGTTTTTCCCACCAGATTTAGCAATATTTAGAGTAGCAGTCAGATGGTTTTCAATAAACTCAAAGACTTGGGCATAATACGGCTATTTTTCTGAAATCCTATCCACGAAACTTCAAGACATACATGTCCCGCATACATTGCTCCGCATCGGTTAATCCAATGTTTGAGTTCATGTTGTGCTAGTCTTATCTGCTGTAATACAAATCACATATAAGTCATCAATATTCCTCTGGGACAGTAGCAGTCACTGTCATTTACGGTAAACGGGATGCCGAAGTCAACATGCGCATTTTAACCGTACACCTATAATGGTTAGTTAACATGTGGCAGTCTGCCCCTGTAATCGCCAGCGCCGCTACTCACGTCGCATTCAGTCCACCTAACATCCCCTGTCCATCGGTCGCTTTCGCCGCGCGTGACTTGGCCCTGCTGTGGCGACAACTTGGCGTCAATCGACGCTGCACTCTTTGCTGATTGGCTGCAGGCAGGCAAAGCCCGGACACGCGCAATTACTTCACTCAGGGGCTAAAAATCTACACGTTTGGTACTCGGCGAAGGCACTTGTTACCACTGTTTGATGAATCTGGTACGTTTCCTCGCTGCACTAAACGTTGTCCAACTTATTCTATCTTCGCTGCCTTCTGATTTGAGAAAACTCGCGTTGTCGACCCACCACACCTCGACAAACATACCGGACGGGAGTTTAATTCTGTTTCTCTGAATTACCAAAAGCTACTAGGATAGGACACAGAAACCTTAAGGATAGTCGTATGGTGCCTTGAGGACAAACACTTTCGACAGAAGAATTGTAGGTGTGCGTCTGAGTGCCACTGCGACAAACGTGAATCTACGAGCTCCGGCACAGATACTAGAGATAAACTTTTCGCAGTCGGATAGCACTTCCAGGGATCCTCATTTAAATTCTGCCCACTCGTCCGAGTTAAACACACAAAAAGAGGCGCGATTAAACAGGCATCTTAAACTGTTTCCCTAATTACATGTGACAAACGATGAAGTTAGCTGTGGAGGATGAACACCAGCAGGGTCAACAATCCGAATTAAGATTTACTAATGCCAAAATTGACGCAGCCAAAACAGTACACATAATCACAAGAATTGCAGTAAATACACAGATGTGCCAACGGCGAGCGGGACAGACCCCCTGTGGGGCAAGTAAGTGACACTATAATTTCTCGTTACCAGGCGGAAAAAATAATAAGGGTATAGATAATGGATTGTATCAACCAGCTAAAATGGATAAAATTAGCTAACGAAAACCCAGACTCTGCCAAAAAGCACAGATTTCACGCGAAAATGAATGGAAAATTCGGCTTAAGTGCAGAAATGCACGTTTGATCAGGAAAGTCCCTGCCTAGGCGCACGAGAGAAAACAAGCAAAAATTGCGTTGCTGCTAGCCGAGAATCCAGAACAGAATACAAGTTTACGAAGGTCGTTTGAGCTCACATGAATGAGCATAATTCCGAACGTTGGGTCTCGCTGAAGATGGATTATTAGCTCCAGTTTACTGTACATCCCTGATGCCCTAAACTCCACTACTCGTATAGCAGCTCTCTAGTATGCCTTACGCGTCAGCGCATTACCACATGTACCACCTCTTCTGTGTGCCTTGGTAGTAAAAAAAGTGAACAAAACTGTCTGGTCGCCGCACTAATGACCCAGTTCGCGCGGACGTTCCCGCGACGCCAACAGCGAGAATCGTCACTTTTATTCCCGCTAATCGGTTTTGAAAGAATATAGCTCGATCATATCTCGCGCAGTCACAACTACTACTTGATTTCAGCGTAGTTGTGCACTGTGCCGCAATAGTTCACCTGCTTTTTATCTCCCAATTTCTGATCTCAGAAAGCACTCCCGTCGTCCGACGGAAACGGTAACTTCAGTGGGGCCACTTGCCGGATCAATGACAATAACATGAATTCAGAGCCGAAATTACCTTTTTTCTAGGTCAGTCAGCCAAGAGCAGACCATTGCGACACAAAGATGCACCTATCACTAGGGAAGATACTATTAAAAAATCGACCTTGGTTCACCCCATACCAAATCACTACACTTAAACTACCACTACAAGAAAATGTTACCATAATAATCAGCGTCTACTCTTCCAGAACGACTTGTCATGAAGGGGGAAAATCTCACGAAAAACCTCTATTAGTTTGTGCAAATACCAGCTGGGAAAAACCGCATTTCTTGGAAATTTCTGCGCATGTAGGCATAGATCATGCCATTCGGAAAGGAGTGATCGGTAACAATGAAGTCCGCCGAAGCCATCCGCTGAGCACAATGCCCGGATCGCATGATTTACCGTCTGTTCAGTCAAGATAAAATTGCGGGGGCACACCCAATCACAAAATGTGCAAATCAGGGATGGCATGACCATGGCAATGTGATATCCCTAGGTAGTACATGTGGTAAAGATGATGTAAAGGAGCGAATGCCAGGCAAACCATAACCTATTTATGCAAAAGATACCTTTGAATTCAACCACGGAGTTGTGCCTAGGGAAAAAGGCTCCAAGGACGATAATCGTCAACGTACGCGAGGTGCGGCCCGACAAATATAGTTCGCCCATGCGAAAAAGTAAACAATAATTTCACATCGACGACCATGTGGATGTGAACATAACTAAAAGGCAGTGGTAATCGACGGGTGCTACCACGGTGAAGGTAATTGAGTACGCGCAGTGATGCACCATTGACACGAGAACGATAGCCATCTGGGATTCAGGACCGTTGGACTAAGCACCATAGCAGCGTTCTTTATAATTTACCCTCGAACTGTGAATGGGGAAATAATTTTTTTAAAGTCTAAATTGACGTCGACCTCGATTCTCCGCCGCCTCTGCGGGAGACTGCGCAATCTAACAAGTCCTAAGCTGAAAAGTCCGTGGCGCCGACTGTGTAGGATCTTCAATGCTTCGGCTAGATAACTTTAAGTACAACAGCCTTGGCAAGCATGTAAATAAATAGGTGATCATGATTAATGCTACTAGTCCGAGCCAAAATGAACGGAAACCCGAGAAAGTCCAGTGTTGGCAATATAATTTTGGGCAGCGCGTAGATGCGCAAACATTTGTTGGAATGAGTAAGACGAAAATAATGCACGGGCGTTTAGTGATATAAATAAAGAACGAACTTCACAAATGAAAAAAGCAAGATGCGCTCCGCAACACAAGTGTTCAGTTAAGTGGCAGTAGAAACGTAAAAGAAAGGAAAGTAAATATCTTCAGCGAAAAACCGTAGGTCGCCTAGAAGTTCAATAATACACCGAAGTCTAGTTCAAAGCCTGAAGAACGGAGGCAATAGAAAGTTGGATGAACTAGAAAAAGCTCCTCATCCTCTTTGGAGGGCAAGCACGAAGGAAGGTCCCTTTATAACAAACATCAAACCAACGCGTCTGACGAGGTAAGAAGGTAAGCTTGGCGGTCTTAAATAAAGCTTTATATTACAGTGGAAGATCAACTAAATCAACGCAGGGATAATCGCACTATTTACATTTCACATTTCAGTTTGTCCAAGCAGAAGCCCCATGGGTGATCGATACTCGCCAGGAGCATGCGAATCAAGAATCCGCACCACACGATTTCTGAAGTTACGTTGTCGAAAATATGCGTGAAGCAGAATTACTAAGAGGTTTCAAATCCAAACAGTTCACTTACCTAAAGAAATTGAGCCGAGACATAAGAGGGCGGGTGTCATAAAAGGCAAGAGATAGAGGAACACACCGACAGAGACTATTACAAAGACCCACAGTTCCGACGGTCGAGAGGCAAAGGGCCACCAATTGTCTATATTGGCATACAGGAGTATACAGGCGCCTACAGTTGACAAACTCAGAAGGATGCTTAGCGGACTTAAAATACTAATTTCCAAATGCTGTAAACAACCACGAACTTACAAGGTGATTCCCATGAAAATTATGGTGATAAGAAAGTAGTTTGTCTGATAATAAAGCAGATTGGACGTTATTCTATCACACGCTTTTTCATCCTTCGGGACACTGAACTTGGACCCAAACATATCATCCAGGGACCTGAGTGGTGGAATCTTCATGCTTAAATCCGGCGGTGTCAAACCTAGGAGCTAGCAATCATTACAAAGTTCAAGATTCAGTTTCTGCAAAACTGGGACGACAGCTCACTTGGCTGATGAAAAAGCTTACTAGTGGAGGTTATCTACTTCATTTCAGTCTAGTAAGAAATAAAATTCTGCAAGCCTCTGAAAACTACAGAGTCCGGGGAACGAAAAAGGCAAGTAGACTCATTGCGGTAACGGATGAGGAATTCTTGACCCAAAAGTCTGCATCCATACTCGCGGACTGCGTAACAGCTCTTTAATAATATTCTGGAATGTACCACCAAAGCCCACTGTTGGAGCGTTAAGCATAAACCAACAAAGACGCAACATGATGAACAACAGCAAATAGCTCGAAGCGTAAAAATTAACGGTCACATTGGCGGAGCAGTCAACAAACGAATGACGGAGTGCGTAAAGTTATGGTGGGCCGCCTCAGGGACAGTAAAACACAAAAACCGACAAGGAGGAATTTAGCTCATGGGACGAAAGACAGACATCCATGGAAAGCAATTCGATGTTGCGGCAAAACAACTCTGGTATTAAAAGGAGCTTTGACGAAAGTATAATAGTAGAAAATCAAAATTCAGTAGATCCCTAAGGAAGTACGAAACTCGAATGATAGAAAGGGCCGTAGGTGGGCTTAAAAAACTCTCTAGCTATGTCAACAGCAGGCTAAAATACAAAGATTCGACCGCAGTGTTGAGAGGAGAAAACAACATTACCGAAAATGACGATAAGGCAGAACACTCCTGTTGTTTTTGTATCTGTTTTCACCGCTGGAACGGTTTTTGACCACGACAATTTCCCCAGTGGATTACAAGAACTTGTAATGTGAGGCGTTAATTTCACAGAAGAAGATGTGAGGATGAAACATCTTGCCCTTAAATCATACAAATCTCCTGTTCTGGACGAAATAACGACAAAAGTTCTAAATGAACTGGCTTGGGAACTCTCTTGATCGCTTCCGCATATTCTCCAGCTACCCTATGATCAAAGGGTCTTACCCTCTAAATGAAAGTGGCGAATATATGTCCCATTCACAAGGGCGGGTCCAGAACAAGTGCTATCAAATATCGGCTGGCGAGTCTAATATGCATTTGTTACAAAGTTGTGGAAAGGATCGTCAACACCCATTATAAATTTCCTCAAAATGGAGGATTCTTTGGGGTGTCTGAAATGCCTTTCGAAGAAACTGCCCCTGTTCGACCAATAACTCAAAACAAATGAAGTCAAAGTGCAGTCGAAATGGATAATTTTGTTTTAGGTTTTTTCCCTCAGTCTAAAGGAGACTGACAGTGCCCAAGGGGCGCCATAATAAACCTATTCTATTCTCATATGTTTCGTTCAATGGATCAGTAGTCTCGCGCGTTAGATGAAGACACAAGAGTCAACGTCGTCCAGATCGACTTTAAGAAAGCCTTTAATGGGGTTCTACGCTTCCGGTTGCCCGACAAGTTCGTAGAATCTGATATAAGTGGGAACCTACTAAACTGGATGGGGGACTTCTTGGTCAGCCGATCATAGCCTGTGTTCATTAGCAATGCGAAATTCTTATCAGTGCCAGTAGAGATTGGAGCAACACAGGACTCTGGGCTCCAGCGATCACTGTTTTTACATTATGTTAATGACCTCATGAACAGACATGACTGTAAGGGAATCATGTTTGCAAATGATTTAAATTTTGATGAGCGACAAAATGCAAAATTGGTGTATGGGCTCTGCAGGAAGGAATTTGCTGCATATGTGAAGGATCGGATAAATAATAACTAAAGATTAACCTTGAGAAGTGTGTCGCACTGCGGCTCAAAACGAAAGGGGAAGCGAATGGAGATGATCACCAACACACCCTTGATGAACATTCTTGAATAAAAAGATCTCGGATTCACCTTTTTGTCATCCCTGTGACCCCCTTCTCAGTGCGGCAGGGTTGTTGAAAAGACGACCAGTGTTCTCTTTTCCATTAAAATTGCTTCCGTCGATACAGATAATGCGCCACTTGGAAAGGTATACAGAGCATTGATTCGTTCGCAGCTAGAATATTAAATTCACGCGTTAAGCCCCTGGCTGTAAAAAGGTTATAAGATGCAGGAAAGGGTTTAAAGGAGGGCGACTAAAATCCCGAAGTGCATGAAAACTTTATTGTGTAAAGACAAACTTAGTGCGCTTGACATACTTTCTCCTGAGAACAGGAAAATCTGACGAGATCTCATACAGACCTGCCAGGTTGTGAGACATCGGGACCGTGCCGTGCACTTTGAGAATTTTTTTCGCACAGCAACTAGTCTGCGTGGGAACTGTCAAAACCTTCGATTAAATTTATTTCACCTGGATGTTCGCGGATACTCGCTTTCGTAGCGAGCTATTGGTTCGCGGAACCGTCTTGTCAACGAAGTTATAATGGCAGTCTTAACAAGGACATTTAAACATAAAATTGATACATATTTCCGTGAAAGATACTGCCCAGCTGAATAGGAAAGTCCTGCTACACCGAACCAACGCTATGCATATACCTACCGCTAACGAAAAGGACCACTAGTTCATATTTCACATTATCTCCAGCGTCTGACGGTGGCCGGGCATCAGCTTTCATCATGGAATCCACAAAACTGCGTTCTCTACAGCCGCAAGCTCTGGCAACCGGCCTAACCAGAGAGCTTAGCCAAACGAAACCAGCAACTGGAATTTTCCATACTCGACGAAATTTGCAAATTCCGTTCCGGTCAGCAAAGATGAGCCAGCCATGCCGTAGTATGCATAAACAAGGGCTTTATGCTTATTCAATAAGAGCTCCATAACTACCACTTCACAAAACTCGTCTTCAAAAATAACGCCGAATGGCTGACAAGTGGCCATTACATAACCCACATTAACCACCTCTTTTTCTAACCAAATTCACGTCGCGGCCTGTACTAGAATTTGGCAACCACCAGGAATTTCATAGTTGCCTTATTTAGTAAGCACTATGTACCTCTCACTGCAGAAGGGACTGCTGTCTGAAAATCGATTGTGACCTGCTTAGGCTAAACACGCTGTCCAAATACATTACAGAATATCAACCAAATCCTTGCGCCCCTTACACTCTCGCCAGAGTACATTTCCTCACTCTGCCAGACCAAAATGTTCATTCTCCTCAAAAACGAGCAAAAAGTCTAGTGACGTTGAGGAATGTCACATACGACGATAAAATCTGCACCACATGTTTCGGACTCATTCATAAATTTTTTAAGTTGGAGGAGGCGTTAAAGGAGTCAAAAATGGAGACAGAGAAGTTATGGATTCTTACTCATTAAATACTGGAAGAGAGCAAGATGACGAAGTCGGCAATTTGCTTGCATACACGCAGACCAGCTGAGGAAGACGGCCAGGAGGCCTAAGAAGGACCGCCGGATGCCCCCAGTTATGTTGGACAACAGAGATAACAGAACGCCTTGTGGGCCGAAGGCAAGCCAAAATATTCGAGAGGAAACTTCAAACGAGTCTGAAACTAGCCTTATCGATAAACAAAACGGAAACACAGAAGGAAGTGTTATCAACACGAAAATGAACAGATCGCGCATTGATCTGAGTTTGGCTAGCCCAATAGCTAGTCCATTCAGAGCCCACAAAACAAGTAAACTGGTAAAGAACGTTCAGTCAGTCAAAAGATGTGCTATAACAACGGGCGCTAGATTCAGTCGCAAGCGAAATTTTGTCATACAGGTAGTACCCAAATCAACGGCTACAGTTCCAAGGGACAGAGTAAAACACGACCTAGACCTTCTTCAAGTGTTTGCGAAAGCTTTGTCAAGAGACGGCGAGTCATTTAATATTCTCAAAGCATTGCGAATAGGGAAGACTCAGTCAGCGTCCCCTTCAAATTCCCGACCCGACCCCTCCAAGTCACTTTGGAGACTGAAGCACAGGCACAGCTCCTGTTACAGAAAAAATCACCTTTGCGTAGTCATCATCCCGAAGTTTTTCAGCCAGATTACGAGCCAGAAGAGCGAATTACTATGAGATAGCTGACAAAAGAGCTGGAAGAGCGAAGGACCAGCGGCGAAACACACCTACAAATCAAGAATGGACAAATAGTTCAGGTCAAAAGGACATTTCTCTGGCCGAGGGCCGTCATTCTGACAGCCTCGCCAATGCAAAGGTGCCAACTTTTGAGGCAGTGAGCAGCAGTGGTGGCTGTTTAGAATTCCATTACACTAATTGTCAATGTCTCCTTAATAAGCTTGATGAACTCATTTTATTAGTCTCTTAGCAGATGCCTCACATAATTTTCCTAACAGAGACATGGTTGCCTGAGAAAAGAAGTAGCAGCGAAGTCAGTATTGAGGGCTTTCACGTGTTCCGTTGTGCGCAGATTTCAACGTAGGTTAGGAGGAGGAGGCACAGCGATTCATGTGTCAAATAAAACTCCCCGTTGTCCGCGAGAAATATCCGATGTGGCACCGAAAAATTTTGAAATAAATTCATGCCAAATATGTATAACACAATTGTGGACACTTAACCTGTGTGCTGTCTATCGGCCTCCCAGCTCGAATGAAATCGTTGATATGGAATGGCTTAGTGCACTGGAGTTGCTATGTAAGCAGGAGAGCTTACTTCTTCTGGGTGAATTTAACGCTCCAGGAACAGACTGGAAAATTCCCTTAAAAAATGTCCCGTCCATATCATCCCTGCCAGCACCAGCCCCGCCTAGCCCCATCAAAAATGGCGGGGCGAGAGGGGGCTATGAAGGGGCTAGGCGGGGCTTTGGAAGGATCTTTGGCGGGGCATTCAACACGACAGCCCCGCCTGGCCCCATCAGCGAAATTAAATTCACAGGTACGCGGGAACAGCAGAGGATCAAGTTTATTAGCGTAAAATGGCCATTTGTTGAGGGGACCAACTAACCTTTGGGCCTGGTCAACCTATAATTAACCCTGCCAGCACCAGCCCCGCGTAACGCCCCTCAAATATGGCGGGGCTAGAGGGGGCTATGAAGGGGC